TACCTTGTTTCTACCTTTTGGTTATAATGGCAGAGGAAAATCCCAGAGGGCCTTCCCTAAAAGCTAAGTCTAAAACTCACCATCTGCGCAAAAGGGCCAAGGAACCTACCACAGCCTCTGAAAGGGACGCCCTGAGGCGCCACAAAGCTCTGGAAAAGGAGTTTGATAGGCGCTCCAGGGACTCTCATTCTGTAATTCCAGCTTCTATTCCCTCTACCTCTAACCAACCTCCCCCTTTGCCAGAACACCTTCTCTCTCCAGGCACAACACACCTGTCCAGAGCCCCCGGGCCACTCGAACTCCAGAGGAGACCTTCACCCCAACCGCTGCTGGCCTATGCCCAGAAGACCCTTCAACTAGCATCATCCCTGACAGCGTTAAGGAATGGATGCAGCTTGCCATCCGCCAGGGGATCGCGGAAGGTATGCAACAGTTGTCCAAGACAGCAATGGCACCCAAGATTGATTCTGCCTCCGGAGAACCTCTACCCAGACCGGTGACTCTCCACAGACAGGTACCTTCCCAAGGGGACCCTTCTTTCCCAGAAGGGGAGGAAGAGGAGGACGAGGAAGAGGAAATGGCCTTTGCACCCTACAGGGCAGAGGAAGGGTCAGAGAGGGGGTCCCTCCATTATTCTGAGCCCTTTTCCGAAGTGGAACAGCTGGAAGGGGACATGTCGGAGGATGAGGGCATCTCCCCCGACCAGCCCTCCCTTGTAGGCCTGTTCAAGCCTCATTTATTTAAGTCCTTGCTGTTCAAAGCAAAGAATATCTCAGGCCTAACTCCCCAGCCATCTTCTGATTCCTCGACAGCAGCCTCTGGGGCTCCAGAGGATGCCATTTTCAGGCAGCCAGCGGTGGAGGCCTAAGTTGTGCCAGTCCCTCCAATCTTCTCCGATCTAGTGGCGAAACAGTTAGCCTCTTCCGGTCTCCCCTCCGCCCCCTCAGGGCAGGACAAGAGATTTTTTTAATCTCGACGCAGACTTCTCCACCATGCTAAACACCCCTGAGGTGGATGACCCTATTATCAGACTGGCATCCTCGTCTAACCCCACAGACGCTCTGGAAGCCTTAAGGCCGGAGGACAGGCGCACCAGTTTGATGCTTGGGCCATTCGGTCTGCCACTGCCTCATCCTTTTTTACTAGGTCGTCTATTAGGTGGCCTTGACAGCTGAAGCAACATGTTCCTCCATCTAATACTAGGGCCCATCAAGATATTGCAAAACTAACAGCAGCAGCTGAGTTTGTGGCCGATGCAAATTTTCACTCGGTGACGTTCTCCTCTCGGGCCATATCCTCTCATGTTACGGCCCGACGGCTGCTTTGGCTTAGGCATTGGCAGGCCGACGTTAAAAACAAGTTGAAACTGGCCTCAGCTCCCATCTCCGGAAATAAATTATTTGGTCCGGCCCTGGAACCATTGTTGATGGAGAGTCGGAACAAAAAGAAATTTCTTCCGGCTCTTTTTCATAGGCAAGAGTCTAGATCCTTTCAGCCCTTTCGAAGGGGCTCCTTCCATACCCCCTTTCAAACTCCCTTCTCCCCCCGTTATCAGAGATCTCCAACCTTTCGCCCGGCCTATCAAGACCGGGGCGATTCAGGAGACAGATCCAGGGGGGGGGGGGGTAGTTACAGAAGACCCTTCCAGGGTTCCGCAGGTAAGACTCCCCGCCGTCCAAGATAGGATCTACGTCTGATGCTTGGGTTAAAGACACAGTCCAATTTGGTTTTTCCCTTCAGTTCCAAGTCACTCCACCCGAACACTTCATGGTTTCTCCCATTTCCAGGGATCATACCAAGCACGCTCTCCTAGAGACCGCCATTAAACATCTGTTGGATATTAAGGCCATACAGCCCGTGCCACCTTCTCAACGAGGAGAGGGATTCTATTCCCTCCCCTTTTCTAGTCCCTAAGCACTCTGGGGGTTGGAGGCCCATTTTGGATTTAAAAAGGCCCAATCGTTATATTGTTCATCATAAATTCAAAATGCATACCCTTCAGTCCATCCTACAGGGCACCAGGGAAGGAGACTGGCTCACTTCCATTGACCTGTCTGAGGCATATCTTCACATACCCATTCACCCTTCCTTTTCTAGATATCTGAGATTTTATTACAATGGCTGTCATTATCATTATGTAGCCCTTCCCTTTGGGTTAGCCTCGGCTCCCAGGACCTTCACCAAGGTTTTGGCAGCCTTAGCAGCTCACCTCAGACAACTCCCTGTCCGTATTTGCTGCTATCTTGACGACATTCTCATTCTTTCTCCAACCCAACGCCAAGCTGAGAGGGACACCAGAACCACTCTTTCAGTACTTCAGGATCATGGTTTCCTTGTAAATTGGGAAAAGAGCCAGCTTACCCCTTCCACTCGAATAGTTCATTTAGGGGCGGTGATTGATTCAGTTGAGAGGAAGGTTTTCCTCTCCCCGGAAAGGTTTGCTAGCATTCAAAATTCGATTAAGGCCATCAGGCGGGCAAAGAAAGCTTCATTGCCGGACCTATCTAAATTGCTTGGGAAAAGGATCTCATGTATATCCATTGTTCCCTGGGCCCGATTTCATTCCAGGTCCCTTCAATGGTTCCTGCTACCTTATCAACGCTCAAGAAGGAGCAATTCAAGATTCGTAGTAAGGATCCCTCCAAAGGTTCTCACCTCTCTACTCTGGTGGACCAGACCCACCACCAACGAAGGGCATCCATTCAAAGAACCCCAGAGAGTCACCCTCACAACAGACGCCAGCCTAACAGGTTGGGGGGCCCACCTTCGTTCGCTGTCAGCTCAAGGAACCTGGTCAGTAAACGAGCGCTCTTGCAGCATAAATTGGTTAGAGCTCCACGCAGTATATCTGGCATTACGCACCTTTCTTCCTCAAGTTCGAGGGCGTCACGTCTTGGTCTTGATGGACAACACTACGACCAAGGCCCACATCAACCGGCAGGGGGGGCACTCACTCCATCAGACTCATGAAAGAGGCCGAACGGATCTGTCGATGGGCGGAGGCCAATCGGCTATCCATAAAGGCAGGGCACATCTCAGGGGTCTCCAATGTTCAAGCAGACTGGTTGAGCAGAACCGTCGCCGACCAGTCCGAATGGCGTCTGCATCCCTCCCCTTTCCGGGAGGCCTCAGGGAGGTTCGGTTTTCCACTAGTGGACCTGTTTGCGTCCCCATCCAATGCCCAGACACCAAGGTTTTTCTCCCGGTACCCCACCCAGGGGGCTGAGAACCATGATGCCCTGCATTGCCCTTGGCCTACGGGGCTCCTATACGCTTCCCCCCCCACCGCTGCTGCCCAAGGTGATCCAAAAGGTAATCCTCGAGAAAGCGGAACTTCTTCTGGTGGCCCCATATTGGCCCAGGAGGCCCTGGTTTGCGGGCCTTCGCAACCTGTCAGTGGCTCCTCCTTGGAGGTTTCCACCGGTCAAGATTTCGCTGTCCCAGGGACCTCTTCAGCATCCAAATCCACAATGGCTTCAGCTGACCGTTTGGAGGTTGAGCGGGACCGTTTAAGGAAGGAGGGCATATCCGATCTGGTCATCAACACTATTCTGGCAACCAGGCGGCCTTCAACCACTCGCATATACAATGCCACCTGGAACATATTTTGTAAGTGGTGCCACAAGTTATACATTAATCCGATCTCTCCATCAATCGCACAAATTCTGGCCTTTTTACAAGAAGGATTGGGCAAAGGCCTTTCCCCCAACACTTTAAGAAGGCAGGTGGCGGCCCTATCTACGGTTATCTCTGGCAACCTGTCTGGCCTGCTTTCCCACCATCCTCGCATTAGAGCTTTTCTTAAAGGTGCCACTAATTTGCACCCTCCAGTAGTTCACAGATACCCGACCTGAGACCTCAACAAGGTTCTCGGCGCTAACTAAGTCCCCCTTTGAGCCTCTAAGAGAGACGTCACTCCAACTCCTCATGCTCAGGGTGGTTTTTCTTGTGGCAATTACATCGGCTCGTCGGATATCTGAAATAGCAGCTCTATCCGTTAGAAAGGAGTTATGCGTTTTCCACGCTGATCGGGTGGTCCTTTGACCAGATCCCTCCTTCATGCCCAAGATAAACTCAGCCTTTCACAGATCACAGGAGCTTGTCCTTCCTAACTTTTGTCCAAGTCCTTCTCAAGAGAGAGAAAGGCAGTGGCATACTCTCGATGTTAGATGGGCGCTCCGTATCTATATCAGTCGCACTCAGCCTATCAGGCGGTTGGAGGCTTTGTTTTTATCTTTTCAACCAAAGACGCTGGGCTGCAAAGTTTCCCCGTCTACTGTTGGCCGTTGGATTAGAGCTACAATATCCAAGGCCTATTTGTCACAGGCGCTTCCTGTTCCCTGTGGAGTAACCGCTCACTCTACAAGGAGTGCTGCTACTTCTGCAGCCTGGGCTACTCAGGCTCCTATTCATGATATTTGCAGAGCGGCTACCTGGTTGTCTCCATCTCCATTTAATCGCATTTATAAAATCGATGTTTTTGCTTCGGCAGAAGCCTCCTTTGGCAGACGAGTCCTTCAGCAAGTGGTGAGAGATCCAGAACATGCTCCGAACCAGACGGAGTCCCCCCCGTAGGACAGGCCATGCTTTGGTATGTCCCACTCTCTGGATGCTCGGAGCAGCTCGATTGAGAATGGGCGTTGGTACTTACCTGACACGCCATTTCTAGTCGAGCTGCATAGAGCATCCAGCCCCACCCTATTTGGTCCGTCTGGTGGGGAATCCTGTTTCGGCCAACGATTCATATTGCTTTTTGTGGTTAAGTGTTGTTTATAGTTAAGATGAGGGGATAGTTGTTTGTCTTCTCGTCTTCGTAAAAACTGGGGAACGCATGGAGAAGCCACGTGGTGGGAGGAGCGTTCCTCAAATTATAGCTCAGCCTGCAATTGGTGAAGACTAGAGCACCTCCCACTCTCTGGATGCTCTACGCAGCTCGACTAGAAATGGCGTGTCAGGTAAGTACCAACGCCCATTTTATAACAAGAAGATTAATGTTTGGGCTCAGATTTGCCACATCGTCCCCAACAGCCCAAGATAATTTTTTTTACAATTATTATAGGAGAAATGGTTATATTCTCCACACAGCTGAACAAGTAACAGGAGCTCACTCCATTATGTGGCACTAGGGATTTGAACTGCCAAACTACCGACGTTTCTGATCAACAAGCTCAGCATCTTAGCCACTGAGCCACGGTGTCCCTCGTAGATTGTGTTATACCTCAGTTATTTGGCCACACTGAACCAAAACTGTTTTTCTACACAGCCTGTTTTCTGAATCACTGCCCTGACATAGAAGAGAATGTTGAGTCTGACTTAAACATATATTCAGGAATCAATTGTCTCATAAAACAGACTGTAAGAGATCTGTATTAATCTAGCATATGCACTGGTGTAAAGCATGTTTCCCTTCTCTACTACAATAACAGTAGAGTGTGAAGAGCATCATTCACGTTTGGGAAAAATAAGATTTTGCATTAGGTTTAGAATTCTTTAGTTGTCCCACTAATTAACATGTTTTACTAACTCCTAGCCAACTTTGGGGTTTTTTGTTTGTGGCTAAGACATCAAGCCAGAAACTAGGAAACTTGGTTCTTCAGTACTCTCACATTAGCTACAATGGCAACTAAGTGATTTTGGGCCAGCCTCTCTCTCGGCACTGGGAAGAACACAATGGCCAACCACTTCTGAAAACCTTGTCAGAACTGCATTAATTGTATTTGTAGAAAATCCTTCCTGTGGTATTGACAGTAACGTTCTACACAGTATTTGCTACCCTGGTGAAGAATTAATGTAAATATCTTTAAGTAAGTCCCATACTTGCAAAATAATTCAAATATGAAATAGCACATTTTTGGCATATTTTGGATCTCATCTCCAATAAATTTCCCCTTGCTTCATTCCTTAAGCAGTTTATTAGATTTAATACGAAAGTTGCCTGAATATATATACACTTACCTTGGCAGCCACATTCATTACTTTTCGCAGTTGGTAGCAAGGCAAAATGTCTTGCATATTAGGAAGCAACTGAATCTCAAAATACAGTATATTTATTTATTTAGCTGAGTTTCTCAGTTCTGTAAAATAACAGATAGTTACTAGTATCTAAAGTTTCATAGATCAGTCCCGTAGTCTCTCTTTTCAAGGAAATTCAGATATAAGGGGGAAAAGCAAGTGACAATCATATAAGCCTGCACAAATAATATGGCTCTGTCCCCTGTGATTGACAACTACCTTATTAAAGAGTTTAGCAATTTGTTTTAAAATATGTATTGTATTATTTGCAGCTGTTTATACTAACATGTGATCTACATTTTGAAAATATATCTTTAAAGGAAGGTTGGGAATAATTTGTAATAAAATAATTACTTGGGACTAAGCGGATGTAGTTAATTTATGTACAATACATAAATATTCTAAACCCTGAAGAAAAGTTTCCTAAAGTTTGGTGTATTGTTGGAGTTGTAAGAGAAAGAGGTCATCTTTCTTTTCTGGCAATATTTGGCTACAGAAACTAGAAAAAAGCTGAAAAGAATACTGGTCTTTAAAGAAAAGAAATACTATAGACCGCAGTGTAAAACAGTACAATACCACAAAGTTGCAAGTAAATATGACCTTTAATGTGCAGTGACAATTTACCAAAACAAAACAATAAGAAAACTAATGTCTTTATTTTTAAACAAATAACTATTTGCTGTTTTGGGATTAAAAAATTACACTGGGGATTCCATTGTTTATAAAACCTTATATTTTATATTTTTCTCATTTATATTAGATTTTAAATTTTGCACAAAGGAAGGTGGTCTTTTAGTTCTATAGGCTGAACTTCCTTTCACACGTTCCCCTTTCAAATGAACAATGTATGGCAGCATAGGTGGTTTACGTATAGTTACCAGTGTTCCTTGAGGAGTATAGCATCTTAACTGCATTTTGTTATTTGAATGAGCCGTAACTGCAACCCAGCCTAAAGAGAGGAAAGGCATCATTTTGTTACTGAACAAATAAAAAGTCTTAATTTGATTTACTGTGAACTTCAGTTTGACTGATGCAACAAGAAAGTCATATTGATTTCCAGTTTAGGACCAAAAGCAAGAGCTGTTTTCAAAAATCTTCAGTGTTTATCCCAAAAGCCTTCATAACAATACTTGACAATGTCAACAGAATCAAAAGACCAAATATTAGTCTTATTAAGTATTAAAGTTCTTTTTCTGTTGCAAACGGAAACAGTATTTTGAAAACTGATTGCTCCCTTCATGTGGTGCACTAGGCAGATCTAAAAGATTGCAGTATTTACTTGTCTGACAAGAGAGCAGTCTCTTTTTCAGGTATGGGATTGAAAACCAATGGGAACCACAAAGGCAATTTATAGGAAAATGTTCCTAATCCGTAAGAAAATAATCCTAAATTTCCTATTGATGTGAATGTGCCAAATTCAGAGAGAAGTGTAAGCACCTGCTACATAAAATAAATTCTACTGATAGAAAAAATACCCTACTCAGTGACATAAAATTCTTTCCCACCAAACAACTAGCAACTTGGGCATTCTGCTTGGACTCCTCTCGGAATTATTTGCTGAAGAGAAGATGTTTCTTATGTAAGAGAGTAAAAGATTGGCTTTTGACTGCAATTCTATCTGGATTCACATTGTGAATATAGATAGCTACTGGAAAAGATATCCTTTCATTCAAAAAACTGGAATACGGGTATCCATCCTGAATGATGGTAACTGGGACTAGCAATTGTGTCACTAAGTGATATGGTCATAAAGCATGATGTCACTGTGGCTTGTTGTGATGTTGTAATTGCAAGCCAGGCACCCAAGCACCCAGATTGTGATCACATGACCTTGTAGCACTGCAAGGACCACAACTTCACAGACTAAAACCCCCCTCATTTAGCACCATTTTGAGTGGTGGCTGAATGAGTGGTTGTAATTCAATCACTACCTGTAATAGGTTTCCTATTCAAAAGAAAATTTGAGGATTTTTACCAGCAGATGAGAGCTTTATGTCAGCTATTGCTTCATTCTTCCCAATTCCTTCCAAAATCACTTCCTGAGGAACAAGTGGTGGAAATTCATTCATTCGTTCTTCACCTCCCATTGGAACCTTGTGTTACAAATTAGAAAGATAGTCTTTTAAATAATAAAAATTAAGATTCATCTGACAAACCTAATCAGCAAGTTATACACTAAGTAATAACATTTTAGTAATTTTCATAAGTATATCAGGTAGATATAATCAATTTCTGCCTTCAGTTTTATAATGTAGTAACAGCAAAACAATAAAAGCAGAAAGCCAAAGAAACAGAAAAAGTTGGAAGCCCAGTGATTTAAAAAAGCACTGAAATTGTAAAGGTGCCTCTAAAAAAAGATTTAGGTGAAACAGTAGATGATGAATGGTAGGTTTTCATGTGAGGAAAACTATAGCTGAATAAGCATGGATAAAAATGGCAGAAGACAACATGAGAAAGAAAATGATAATGAAAAAGAAGATGGCAGACATCCAAGATATGGCTGAAGTGATCAGAAAAAAATAAAAATCAGTTAACAGAATGAAAAGAACGAGACAAAAAGATAAAGCAAATGAAATAAACATTGCAATATGCCAGACATAAAATAAAGCAGATATCCCAAACAGAAAGGGTGACGAATATTGAAAAATAAAGAGGATTGATAAAGTCTGAAAAATATATATCATTTTTACACGGATATTGATTCTGATGAGTATATCTCAAGACTGTTCTTTTACCATGGTAGTCCCAAGTTTGGGAAATTGAGCTAACTGTAGAAGATGACCAGGTTGAGGCCAGGGGTTGGATCAAATACATCATCAGTTTGGAGTCTCTACACTCCTGTAAGAAACCTAAGTCCAAACTCCCTTGAAGTCCATTGACTTATCCGGCGCCAATTCACTTTCACTGTTAGTAGTTCAGATTCCTATGTATAGGTAGCATGTAATAAACATGTAGTACTTTTGAACTCTATCCTAGTTCCTGATTTCTTTTATCTGACACCAATCTTGCTATCTTGTGAAATCAAATGCAGAACCCGAAAAGAAGAATCAAGGCTAAATTGCAATGTTTATTATACAGCACGTGCTGGTGGGATTCACTGTAGAGAATCTTGAGAGAAATCCTATCCAACAAAGGGATGCACTTATGTTTAAACATCCCAGAAAGTTGAGACGACACTAAAACATAAGCAACAGGTGATGTCAGCATACATATTCATAAGTAAAGGATCTCAAGTTACTATAATGGACCTCGGGTTACTATCTGAAAGAAGGGGACAGTTTGAGAATGCCAAGTGCCAAAAATAAATAAATAAATAAAATTCTCATTGCAAATGTACGGGATTGTCCTAAAAAGATAACAAGTTGGCCTTATATCTCTATGCATCAACTTGATTTAATCAATTCCACTCCTCTAAAAATTGGTTTTCCTCACAGTCTACCATACAATTAAGTTAGAAGAAATGAACTAAATTTACTTAAACTTGAAACTTGTCTTTGAATTAAGTTGTTTAGTGGGTAAAAGCTGCCAATTTCAATAGAACAAATAGCAATCCCTTTAAATGTTCATAAGCAGAGAAAAATACATGGGGAATATTTTAATATTTTTAATATCTTGGCAGTGGTGAGAGTTAAGTTTCTACATAAAAGACCAGTGTCAATGAACCTACTGACTGTTTCTTTGTATTATATTTTACCTGGAACTCACATACCAGCTGTTTTTTTACTATCTTTCTTTCCAGAGATTGGAAAGACACAATGTGTAAAACTATTATCATTTTGCATAAAGTGGAAGTCCACCAAGATAGAGAAAACTTGTTTCAGACAACACAGTCATGGTATTGTCTAACAGCAGAACAAAGCTTCTCTTGTCCAAGTCCCAAGAAGCCTAATAATGAATGTCTGTGAATGGAGGAAATCACAAGGTCTTAACAGATTCTCCAGTCAGTGTACATAAGTGCTGGCTTACCTTTAGTAGTGTTTGACCTGCATGCTTTTGATAGACAGCATCTGCTTTTTCTGTGAAGGTAACATGCACCGGCAACAAATTAGAGGCCACAACAGAAAACCAGGAGGACTGATTCCCCTAAGGAATAAAAAGTTTGAAAATTAAACTGCCTGAAAAATTCTACAGTATTTCTTAATTCAATTAAATTTTAAATACCAACTTTACTAGCTAATGTAACGATAACTTAGCTTCTGAAGGCTGCTAGTCTATTGTAACAAACTGAATGAACTTCATAGTAAAACAATGACATTTTAGTCCCCACAGTTGAATTATTCAAGTTTTATTGGAATAATGTAGTCTTTGTTTATTATTCCATATTACCCTATTTAAAAATGAAATAATTAGCTTAGGGTTTTGTTTTGTTTTTTGAGGAAAAACATTTAATCTAATTCATGTGGATGAGGACCAAACAATTTAAAAGCAATGTAAGATATTGAAGTACTGAATAAAACGATAGTTCCTGAGTCATAACAAATCATAGTCTGATATTCCATCCTTATTCTTTCGTTTACATTTAATTCATTTTCTCGTTCACAGCAAAAAGCTGTTGATCTTACCAAGATAATAATTTGATAGACCAAAAAGGAAGGCTTAATTCCTTTTCCAGTGAGAAAGCAAGGCACCCCAAAATGTTTTTTGTTCTTTGGGACAAAACTTTCAGTTATGGGAACTCACTTCAGCCATATAGCAGTGCCAACTGTATTGCTTGGAATCACATAATCAAAAAAACAACAACAACAAAATACTGAGATTCATTTTCCATCACTATTCTGTTAATGTTCTGTATGTGGAATGCCTCTTTCTATACTTACCCCTAGAGAGATCTTGCATATCAATAATAATAATAATAATAATAATAATAATAATAATAATAATAATCTGTGCAGGATTATGTTGCAGCTGCAAAAGTCTTTGTCTATTTTGTAATGTCTAACGAATGTTGAAGGAGAAACCCAGGTTGCTATCTTGCAGAGGTAGGTTAGGGACACTCTCTAGAACTGCCACAGCACTTTTCTCCTCACAAAAAGGTATGTCTGGCTGTTTTTATGACTTCCTTCTTCCGGATGATATGATTGGTATGTTTGGGATTGCTTCTATTGTCTGTATTCTGAACTGTTCCCTCCCTCCCCTCCTTGCAGGTGAGTACTTTTCTGGTCTTCACTTGGAATTATTTCTGCATGTGGAATTCCTGATGTTGCTACCCTGTGATGGCTAAGGAGGTGCACACAAAAATATTGTCCAGCTGCTGCTTCAAAACATATTTTCCCCATTTTTCTATTTGCAACTCACTGCTTGTTCCCCCTTAGGCTTGATTCTCTCTGGAGAAGCTTCCCAGAGAATTTAACAGTCAGTATCTTCATACCCTGAGTATTCCTTCCGTGCACACAGAGATGGGACATGACTGGTCATGAAGTCAGGAGTGAGGTGGATATTTTCGGTTTCCCTGTCTGCTGTGTAATTTCTTTTTTTAAATTGAGTTCTATTCTGTGGCTGGATTCTCTCCTTCTCCCCTCTCCCCTATTTTTTAATTGGCTCCAGTGGTTGGAGTGAATGGGATGCACTGAGAAGGTAGAACCAATCAAGAGGGGCTCTTCCAAAGGGACAGAGAGGAAATTCTTGTTCATGTTTTCGTTAGAAGAGAAACCAAATTTCTCTAAAACAGAGAGCAATCCAACCAATCTGCTTCTGGCTTCTATAGTTCAGAGTGATTCCTGAAAGCTAGATTTCAACCCAGAATGCAAGAAGAGAACATCGGACTAGGAGACTTTAATGATCCTGAAAAAGAAATGGCTACATTCCAAGTCATTTAAGCAACAGCCTTCCCCACCCCCCTCGCCCCGGCATCAACTCTAATAAGTGGAAATTATTCAGCAGCAGGAGAACAAAAGTGTTGATTACTGGTACCTTCAAACAGTCTAAATGGTAACTTGTTCTATACATCATCTACACTAAGTTCAGAATTCCCGTGGCAACTCTTACCTGTAAATAATCTATACGTCCCAATGCACCCAAAAATAGAGTCATTCCAGGTTTAAGTATAAATGTCCTTGGAACAATGGCAAAGGTTGGCAAAACACATTTTATTTCTTTTTCTGTTAAGAGATTTAAAACCTAAAATAAAATAAAAAAACATAGAAATTAGAGGCCGAAATGTTAAAATATTATGAGGGTTCACAAATAGATGGCATGTTGGATTGGGCTAAAATATAGGAGCATTGATGAACAGCACTCATACACTCATGTAATAGCTAGGATCTATTTCCCTGTTGCAAAAGGACAATTCAAGACAAATACAACTCAGTTGCAATTTTTCTCCTTTTTATAACAAAGGAAGCAGCCTGATGTGTGGCAGTTAAAAGGGATTTCATGTAAAGCAGAACGAAAAAGCAATGAAGCATCTTAACGCTACTGATGGCAAGACAATACTTGTGTAGCTGCTCTTCTTAGTTACGATTGAATTAATGAGAATTGTAATCAAAGTGGCCATAATCCAAAGATTAATGTACATACTAGAGTAATTTTCTCCAGCTGTAAGTGCAAAAAAAAAAAAAATCAGTATTCTGTTTCCAAATAATGCACAACCAAATTCAGCATGCTGAAAGACAATAGTTAATCGGCAGTTTTACAATAATGCAGGGCAAACAATTTTTAAATCATGGGCAGTATCCAAAAGCCTAGTGTTTACCTTTCAATGCAATGAGATGAGAATGAAATATTTCACTGAACAGCTGCCACTCAATAAAAGTGAACAAAAGTAATTGTTTGGAAATTCTGGCTCAGAATAGTGTTATATTTGTTCCCCTACCAACCACGCACTGACATTGTTTGGCACTAAGGGCTGCTATGGAGAAGTGAAAGAAAAATACACTGGTATGTCTGGTTGGCTTTCATGTGAACACATCTTTGTACTGTGTCCAGTTTATTCTAAACTATATTACTCTAATGCATTTTATATTAAGTTAAAAATCAAGTTAAATGTTGGAAGTTTAAACATTTTTCAAAAAGCTATGATTTAAAGTTTGAAAAATAGTAACAGGAACCTGGAAATGAAAGTCAGGATTAAAGACAAGAAAAGCTATAACATGGATATTATTTCTAGCACCACCTTCTGTTAAAGGTGGCAAACGTATCGGTGACAGTATCTTCCTCCTCTTTTCCCCATAACAGCCCTGTAAGATAGGTTGGACTGAAAGTGAGTGACTGGCCCAAAGTCAGTGATCAGTCAATACTGTACATATGTATGTGTGTGTGTGTGTGTGTGTGTGTATTACTGTTGTGGCATTTAGGAAGTTCTTTAGATTATTTTTAAGCAAATAAAAAAGTACCTTTCAACAACTCCTTTTTTTCATAATTTATGTTGCTGTTCTGCCTACATATGGCAATAATGTAACAACAGTTTATTTCTTGACTTTAAAGAATTATCTCCTCTGATCCAGAAGAACTGACTATATAACAGCCTCAAATAATTTATTCTTGGCAAAGGTAACTGAAGGGTTCATAATAAAAGCCTGGTCTCAATGGTCCCTCTCCCCCCAGGTATGGCAAACCCCTGCCAGGGTTTGATATCTGGGTGAAAACCTACATAGAGGTGAGGTGTATACCAACAAATCGATAGGGAATGTGCCCCTTGAACTATAAAACAGCTTTGGAGGCCAATTATTCTGGCAGCCATGGGATTTTGGTGCATTGTATTGCATTGGTCCTCGTCTTCTTTCCCTGTTAACCTTTCTTGAGCATTATCTTATGGTTCTATGCAGTTTTTGTCTAGAGTTCTTTCTTGTCCTTTGTTTTATTCAACATTGATATAAAGCCAGCTGGAAAGATAATGCCATCACTATGTCTGCTAGCAGTATTAACTGCCAATGAATGGGTTAAATAACAGTGAAATATACCTAAAATTAAATCTTAATTTTCCATCTTTAGCCATTCTTGAGTATTTTGAATTTGGCAATATTTCGCAAATTTTTACAGGATGACTAGCCTACAGCAATGTTATTTATGAAGAATAATTGGTGAAAATCTGAATTCTTGAAAATGTCTGAAAGCCTAAAATGATGGAATTATAGCAGCTTTGCTTCTATATGGTTGATCTGGCTGCTATGCTGTAATTTGTATAGCGCTTTGTCATCTTGTCTCCTCATAGACACTATTTTGGTGCAAATGCTACTGAAGAGATCCTCCCTGGATTCAGAATTCAGTGGTCTTAGGTAACTATTGCTGAGTCTTCAACCTTTCCTTTTAGGGAAGGTTGTTGAGGTGGTTGTAGTAAAACAACTACTGAAGCCCTAATAAACTGGATTATCTAGGTCTATTTCAGTCAAGATTCAACCTGAAAATCAGATACAGAAGACAATGACAGGACCCAGATGAGGAAAGTATCTTACTGGATTGAAATGCCTTATGGCAGGGGACCCCAACCCATTTGGAAGCAGGCCATGCAAAAGCCCAGTTGTGTCAGTGGGGTGCAGGTGTAGCTATTTGCCCAAATGGAGCTGTGCATGCTCCCATGGGACCATCCCTCCACCCCATTCCCCGCTAGTCTTTCAAGCTGAAAATGTTGGGGTCTGCTGCCTTATGGGATTGGAGATTGCAGACATTGTTTGCAAGGGTTTTGTTTCTTCCTCAATGGGAAGGTACAGTCAGTTATGTAGGGAAAGTTAGATATTCAATAACTAAGTAGCATAAACTCCATGCTTCCATCATTATCTTTGGAATAATGTACAGAGAAAAGGGGAAGCATCTTTCTCATACACCTTTACAAAGGACAGCAACTGTATAACCATAACTTTGTAAGGCTTTGATAGAGCATTTATGTAACCAAAATTTCACATTTAATACTCAAGTGTAAACTATTTAAACCTAAATGCTAAATTAATTCAGATGTTTCCTTTAAAATAATAATTGGCAAGATTTGGAAAATAAATTGAAGAATAAAGTAGTTGCTGTCACTATTTTGAAAATGTTTTGTGAAGAATTTACCAAATGCTAAAAAGGCTTTTACAATGATTCTATTTCTACACATAGTTGTGTTATTTATAATTGGATTTTTTTCAGAAATGCTCCAAGTAGTAGTAATAGTAGTAAGGGGTTGGACTAGATGACCTACAAGGTCCCTTCCAACTCTGTTAATCTGTTAATATTTTTGTCATTGCACTTTGTACAACAAAATTAAATGCCTTCTTCAGTGTACATTATATATAAGAAAACTATAAAAATGAAACAAAAACACACATCCTTCACATTCTGTGCAATTGAATTGAAAACCCCCTGATATTTCATTAATATTGCACTATACATTAGAATTCAAGATAGTTCGTGCTCTGGGATAGATAACCCAGACACTCTGTATGTGCAATACATTTTCAGCTCCTTAATGCTTGAAACAAAGAAGAATTATGATCACAGGAAGCTGCTGAAATAGTGGCTTCATTTCTGTTTTAGGTATCAGACAAATTTAACAGTATACCTACACATTCATCTTTTATAATTCCTGGTGTGTCATAAAACCAACGACAATCTTTCACTTCGTTGTATGTCAATTCAATTTTCGGGGTATGAGCTTTGCGTGGAGTGGAGGGTTCTTCCTCCATGCTAATAGACAATTCCTCAACATCAAAATCAATTTCAATATTTTTCTCATTTTTTCCTAATTGTTTAAAGGTTCTTCCAATTCTTCCTGTTTCAAAAATAGAAAGATACACAGGTAGATGTAGTTTATTCATGTTCTTTTGTGATATGTTGTTCTGAAGCTAGCAAATGCAACAATTCAACCCCAAATTAACAGACTTTGTACATCTATTGCATTAGGCTATAATATGATTTTTTATTTTAGTGTAGTATATTATGAAAAATCAATCAGTTGTTCGTTCAATAAATTAAGCTTAAATAATCCACTCTTTAAAGTAATGTGAAAGCTAAGTACAACAGTCTCTTACTCTGTTAATTTTGACTCCTCTCCACTGTACATTCTAAACATCCATCGTATTTTTTAATCTTCTGATGAATGAATTTAAAAATATGGGCAGGTGTCTTCATTGTATTTTTTGTTTAAATTCATATCTGCCTGACTCAAAAGGCCATGGAAATAGTAATAACAGAAATTATATATTAATGGAATCTGCCCCAATAAATCTTAGCTTATAAATATTCTTATAAATATTTTCATGGTATAGATGTGATATCTTCTAGATTCAAGGTTGTTTTCATATGCAGTTGTGAAAATTATTTATTTTGGACATCCAGGTAAGTTTCCAAATTGGTAATTTTTAATATCTGAATCAATTTAGAAAAGTCTGGTTCTCCAATTGCACAGAAGTACCTAAACTATCCAAAACAATTTGCAGCCACCTAATTTGATTATTTAGGTGGACTTTTTAGGTCAGATAATTAAAAAGATCCATTTTAGATGTGCAACAATATCTGCCTTTAATTGATCTCTGCATTAAATATCTGGACAGCCTTGGAAAGATCTATGAAATATTTTTTAGTTGTAGCACTTGCACAGTTCCCAAAGCCCCCATTCACCTATTAAGTATCCTTGCTTTTTCAGAATATTCAGCTGCTGTTGTTCATTTATACTGAGGTCTTCTTCACTTTTCTCTGAATCTTCCTTTAGCCTTTCTTGCCTCCTGAGTACTCTATAAGGTGTAGGATTAATAATTGGAAATTTCAGGAGGTTCAATGTAGTGCCTAGAAGGAAAAAACAAAGAAAAAAAACCCCACCATAAATTTCCATTATTGGTTTATATAGAATTTGCAAATAATTAAGATACTAGAATAGGTTTAAATAATATAGGTCACAAATTGTTATGGGAGGCATACAGCTTTTACGATATGTCAGAAAATGAATTTGTGAAAGAAACTGTAGCTATAGGAGGGCCCTATTAAAAAAATGAGATAATGGATAGCAATTAAGGTTAAAAGGATAAATATCGAGTCAATAAATTCCCACTTTAAATCCTGCCTCAACCATGGCTAACTTTAAGCAAATCTGAAATATCAATATATATTGGCTTATCTTACACCAGTCAAATGTATTGCAAATCATACATGATCATTCTATCCACAATTTAAAGCAACAGTTGATAAACTTTTTTTGGTCTAGGGCTGCATAATAATTTCCTGCCCCATTTGATGATTCCAGGGTCTGTGGCTAGAGTCACCTCCAAGTGGAAATATTACAAACACATTTGTCCTTAAATCATCTTTACAAGAACAGAACAAATTTTCTAGTGCTTCCTTCTGTTTTTTTCTCTTCTTCTTCCATTCTAGCCTATAAATCTCATTATTTCCTGTTGGCTCCACATTCAAGTAATGCCAAGCCTGCTACAAGTGCTCACTTAAAACTACAATTGACCCCTCTTGCTAAGCAAGAGTGTTGTTAAGTGAGGTATGCCTCATTTTATGACCTTTTGGCCACCGTGGTTAAGCAAATCACTGCAGTTGTTAAGTGAATTGTATGGTTGTTAAGCGAATCTGGCTTGCCTCATTAACTTTGCTCGTCGGAAGCTGGCTGGGAAGATTGCAAATGGAAATCACATGACCTTGGCATATGCCAATTGCCAAGCACCCGAATTTTGATCACGTGACTGTGGGGATGCTGCAACACTTATGCAAAAAGTGAAAAGTGATCATAAGTCACTTTTTTCAATTGTAACTTTGAATGATCACTAAATGAATGGTTGCAAGTCGAGGATTATTGTAATCTTTTTGAGATCAATACAGCAGGCTAGGTGGTGCCACTTAATGAGGCAAAACCATGAACAGCTGAGACAGATTCACCTCACTGTATTGTTATTTTATTTGAAAGGCAGAAACAGTTTTGAGAAAAAAAGCAATTGTTAGATTTAAAAAAAATGATAGGGCTTCCATTACATTATTACAACGTTTAGGGATCCTGATTAACACAGGTCTCAGGATAACTTTTATTTAAAAAATATTATGTCAAAATTATGGCACTTACCATAGTTAGGTTTAAAAGTTACATTCTTTCTTAAAGAAATACTGAATTCTTCACAGCCAGAAAATGAATTCAACAGTAACATATTTTACTGGTTAATTCACTGTCAAACTTACAACTGTTATCAAAGTGTTCTCAACACACTTGTTCTATAAATATTAACATTAGGTTTCAGACAACATTACTTGTCTAGCAAGAATTATTTAGTCTTTCTATAACTCTATTGTCTGCTTTATACAGTATTAAATAATCATTTTCAGTAATCATGCTGCTGCTTCTTGCTGGGAAATTTTTGTGAGGTCCAGCAGCCGGAATGTGTAGACTATTTAGCCGTGACATTGCCCAGGGTGCACCACGAGGAGGCTAGTCACACCTTCAAAGACAATTAGTTTTAAAAAGGGAATGGCAAAAATGTGAGGCAAATTGGTTATTACCTATACACATGGATTGTCATGATCAAATATTCAGATTCAAATCTTGGAACCACCATGGAAACTTGGACCGCAATTAATCAAAAAACACTTTGACATTGAGATAGCATGGCACCAGGACTGGGCAATTTGTAACCCTGATCTGTTTAATTTAGTATCTGATACAGTACAGCGCCCCTTCAGCTTTAATCTCCAAGGAAAATCTGGACAGCCTCAACCAAATTTGAACCAACCATGGCAGGTGTCAATATTGGAAATATAAATGGGGGCTGGTTGATAATCCTAACTGTGACTGTGGAAACGTCCTGCAAACTTTATATCATATTGTAACAGAATGCTCCCTCAGAAAGTTCCCTGAATACCTGCATGAAATATATCACCTCAAGGATACTGCTGTCCAATAGCTAAATGGTTTAGATATCCAGTCACAGGATTTGTCACTTCAGTCAATATTTGTGCATAATTTAATTCTATTCATAACTCTTTTATCACTTGCACTGTGTGTTTTTAAAATAATTCACATTTTGATATATATTTTATATATTTTCTGAATTTTTATGCACTAATGCTGTATTCTGTTATGCCATCTGAAATATTATATATATATGTGTGTGTGTGTGTGTGTGTGTGTATTTGTGTATGTGTGTGTATGTGTATGTGTGAATTGTAACACCATATAGTATAGTATTTCAATACCAAACATTTTAAATCTGGCTGATGCTAAATTACCCCAACTTTATATCAATACATTACATTTTTAAAAAATAAAATAAAACAAAGCAGCTCTATAATCATCTTCAAAAATGACATAGCTATGTTACTTAAAATTCTTATGAACTGTAAATACAAACTGGGTATGTTACCACCCACTTTTCTGATCTATAGTTTTTTTAACATCTGTTGCTGACACACAATGCTAATGCACATAGAATAGGCATATATTTAAACCAGACTTTAGACATAACCACATGGCATTTAAGAGCTAGCATAGAAGAGATTAACTCATATAAACTTAAGATGACATTAATTCATATAATCTAAAGAGATTAACTCATATAATTTAAGATTTGATAGTTTGGAACAAATTCACAAAAGTTGCACTAGCACAGCATACTCTACTGTGTTTAATTAAGCAGATTTTTCTTGTTAGGCCACCTCAGGTTTACATGATACACCTATAAACTGGGCTGGGTTTGTAGAATACAGTAGATAAAGTATAGTTGGCTAGTTTGTGATTCTGAGCCAGCAATTTTTTTAAATTGGGAACAATGCAAAGAATTCTGAAAATCTTACAGATCATTCCAAGAATACTGTGAAGAGTGAAGAGTAAGAGTGCTTAAAAGAGCTTAACACGTTTTCTGATATATATTGGGTATATGTGAAAAATCCAATTTCATGTCAGCAAAAGGATTTCTATACAAAAACAACTATTTTGATAAAATAGTTAAAGTGCTGGCCTAGAAACCAGGAGACTGTGAATTATAGTCCTGCCTTAGGCATGAAAGCTGGCTGCTTCACTTTTGGCTAGTTACTTACTCTCAGCCCAAGCTACCTCACATGAATGTTGTTGTGGGGGGGTGGGAAAGAGTATTATGTATGTTTTCACCTTATAAAAATAAAGGCAGGACAAAAATCAAATAAATAAGAGCCGATGGAACAGCCTTTAAGTAATACTTTTTAAACAAAGTGCTCAGAAGTTTCATGTGCGTTTTCCTGAATGGTCTTAAGGATAAGTTGTCAAAGCATGCCTTAATTCCCTCTTACCAGGGAAAGGTGAGATGGTTGCTCTGTGGATCACCTCAGAAGCTTTGGATTTGCAATAATCAGAATGCAAGAGAGTATTAAAGAGAGTAGACTTTCCACTGTTGGCTGCTCCCACAAGGTAGACATCCCCATTTAGTTTCCAAGACCGCTGCAACTTGGAGATCAGAGTTTCTATTCCATAGCCTGTCTTGGCACTGATGAGGTGTATATCAATTATACGCTGGTTTGGGGTTCCTGAAGGCTGGCTCAAATCCACAAGGCCAGCATCTGCACAATTCTTCAACAGCAGTTCCTGGAGGTGCTTCAGGTACTTTGGTGAGTCAGCAGGCAGAAGATCCACCTTGTTGCCTAGGACAAATAGGTGGGTATCCGTCCCCACCAACTTGGGCAGGTCAGGCAAAATTGAATCAGGCAGATCCAGCATATTTACCATGCAGAGCACAAGGTGTGAGCGTCCATGACGAAGAGGCCGTTTTAAGGCGGTGCTGACCACCTTGTAGTATGCCTCCCGGGGCATTTCCACCTTGAGGGCTTGGTGGTGGTGCATCAGAAGCCAGCAGCGCTGGCACACAGTTCCCTCCAGAGCCTTCCTGACGGGGTCCTTCCAGCCCTTCTTCCCCTCCGCTTCCTCCTTCGGTTCTCCTTCATCTTCTTTCCTTCGCAGGAGCCCTTCAGGCCCCACCAGGCTCAGATATTTCTCGCTGGGCACATACCCCACCACGGCCGGATCCCGACAGTGTAGCTCCGCGCCGCATCCCGAGCAGTTCACTCCGCTGGACCGCACCGAAGGGTCCGCTCCCCCCGCCGCTTGGTGACTCCGGGCCGCCTTGTGGCGTCCTTCTCGGCGCTGCTGCGGCTGCTTGTCGCTCTTAGCCCGCTGCTGCTCCAGCTCCTGCACCGCCGCTGCCTTCACCAACCGCTTCTCCTCATCGAAGGGCAGCTCCTCAGGGACATATTCGGGGAAGACGAACTCCTCCTGCTCCATCAACTCGGGCGACACCGCTACCGCCGTCTTTCCCCAGCGTCCACGCGGTTCCTTCCCGAGTGGGAAGTGAGGGGGGCCGCCCAGCGAGGTGCGGCAAAGCAGCGCGCCGATTCTTTTACCACAAGCAGGCGCGGAAAGCGGGGGCGGTTGCCAAAAGCGAGGAAGGCCCCCGGCAAAACACCTCCGGAAGACGTTCATCGCAGCTCACGAGCGAACGGACCAGGACAACCGGAGTCACATCAATGCTGCGGCCCTTTCAACTTTCGACCTCCGCGGGAGGAGCGCAGGCGAAGGCGGACGGCTGGGGCTCCTCCCCTTCCTGGTGAAGTTCAGGACTTCAGGCCTGAAGCGCCCTGGGAGGGCGGCTTGGAGTCCAACTCAAAACCAAATTGATCTCTAAAAATTCAGAGTTCAGGATTCAGTTTTAAGGGTTAGAAATGAGCAGAATTCACAAGAGATCAGGATTTGTCTTGAAAGTTTTGAGTAATTTCAGCAGTGCCATGTGGGGCTCTCAGAGGAAGCGAAAGTGGGATTTTAGAGAAGCGGTATAGGAAGAGTATAGAGCCCCTGAAGTTTGGTGCTGGGAGAAAACTCCTGACAATATCATGGCCAGCTATGAAAACAAATCCTGTCAGAGCTGAAGAAGCTTCTTGGATGAGAAGCCAAATGTCTTCAAAGAAAAAACAAAGTCCAATTACCTCCCCCCCCCCAAAACCACCTTTGGGACAACCATGACTGAGAATCTCTGCAGACTATGAAAACAAACACAATCAAAGAAATCAATCCAGAGTTGTCACTCAAAGCATAAATAACCAGGCACAAATTATCCTACTTCAGACACATTGTACAAAAACCGAACTCTATAGAAACAGGCTGTGATGCTGGGAAAGGTGGAAGACAAGAAGAAAATGACCATAGGTGAAGCAGTTAGATTCAGTTACAGTGGCAATGAGTGTATTGTTGGGAGACTTGAAAGAACAGGTTAAGAGCAGATGTCCTAGGGAAAATCTATCTGTATGGTTTGTAGGATTGAAAATGACTTAATGGCACATAATCAACCAATACTGGAGTACATAGAAAATCCTTTTTTTGCAGCTAATGACTTACAACCGAATCAGAAATCTATGACCAGCAGATTCAGATCTAAACATTGTTTGAAAACAAATGTATTCTGAATATTCAAACTAAATTTGTTCACTTATTTAGGAATAACATATTAACTACATACATTCAACAAGAATTGCTTCTCTTAAGCAAATGAGCACATTGGATGTCTTAAAGAGCATTAAAATGGTTGCTCTTCTTGAAGAAATATACAATTCCATCTATATTCAAATTATCAGTAACAGACTGTGAAACAATAAAAGACTGACCCACTAGGTATTTTTGGCTCCACTTTAATTTTTTTTCAAAAAAATTAATTAATGACCATATTATCTTTTTAGAATTCTATAAATGCAGTGAATTACTGTTAAGTACTGCTATGGAAGACAAGGAGAAAAATAAACTCCTGAAATAGTTGCGGTCTTTTTGAAAATATATCTGAACTGTCACCCGTCAAACCAGGGCGGCATTCATTTGCATATGAGATACTTTGCTTTTTAACCTTCGCTTGACACAGAGAAATCCTAAATAGCAAGAGCACTTAGTCTTATATACCGCTTCATACGTAGCGCTTTCATACTAGTGCTTTCTAAGCAGTTTACAATCAGCATGTTGCCCTCAACAATCTCGGTCCTCACCAAACCATAACCCAGAAAATCTGTCTACCGCGATTCTTGCTATCTCTGCACACAACAGTGCATATTGTTAGTAAAGAGAGGGGTGGGGGGAGGATGTTCGGGAGCCTATGCAGCCCGTCGTCAGATGACAATTCACGGGAAGAACTTTCGCGCATGCGCAAAAGCCTTTGCACGGCCCTAATGGGAAAGGAAATGAGGTTTTGAAGCGAGAGGAAGTAGCCGAGAAACGCGAGCTGTGCGCAAGCGCGATAATAATCGTGTGGCTCTTGTTTCAGAAGTGAGCGGTCTCGGTGGCGATTAGTATCTTGCGTGTATTCGTGACCAACCGAGAGGTACCTTTGCCAAGATGTATGATGCGGACGAAGGTGAGTTTGCTTGGAGAAGGGAGCCTTCACCTCTTGTGGGGAGCTTTGTTCCATATCATTTCTGACTCCTAAAACTGTTCTGTCTGTTGGTTTTCCTAGTGGCATCCGAAGTTACCTGCTAATTAGCAGCCTGGCTGCTTTTTAATCATTCCACATTGTTAAAGATGGTGGGGAATCCGAAGGGTTTCGCTTATATTATTGCAACTATTACGACAAAATCTAATCAGATCAGGCCGATATTTCTTCTCCGTCCTTTAAGGTTGGAGGAGGACAATGTAGAATTGGTCCAACAGATGTGCAATGGATCCCATTGGTAGAATTGTAATGTAATATAAGTGAGGACGTTTGAATAAGAGCCATCGTTCAACCTCGGGTTAAACTGAATATTTTAATTGTATTTCAGGAAAACAAGTCAACTGCAAACCCCAATATATGAAGTGTCTTTGTTTTAACATAGTAATACAAAATATATCTAATTTTTTAAAGTTCAGGCATGCTGCAGTTAAATGACAGTGTAACATTTTCTGTGCAGTTGTGTCTGCTGGGTTGTAGGGTTTCATTTTTTAAAAATTTTGAATTCTCTTGCCAATATGTAATACAGTTTACAAAATATAAGTGCACCTAGAAAAAAGATATTTGGTGCAAGTATTGAAGGCTGTTAGCATGGGATTTATCAGTTAACATATGCATTACTTTTTTTCAGTCAGTACAAATCAAACCAGACACAGAATCTAACATGTATTTTCAATTATTTAGTCTTTCTTTGACTTTTAATCTGTATTAGACATTGCTTTTGCAAACAAATGCAGAGGCAATGGTTTGAACATGACCCATTGTTACTTGAAATCTATTTGCAGATAACTGTAGAAGGCATTTTTTTATTCCTGCAAAAAAGAATTTTTAAATTAGAAATTAAATTATGTAATACAAAAACAAATTCATAACTCAGTGGTAAAATATAAGGCAAATAATTTATAAGGAGATGTCAGATTCTGTTTCTGTACTTCTGCTCAAGATATTGAAAAGCTGTTACTACTTTTATTATCCAGAGATTCTAGAAGTAAACATCAAAAAATAATAAACTATTAGCATTAAAAATAATACTTTCTCTGCAAAGGATTAGAATGATGCTATTGAAGTTCCTTACCCCTCCCTTTTTTTCTCATAGATATGCAATATGATGAGGATGATGATGAAATCACTCCAGATCTGTGGCAAGAAGCATGCTGGATTGTCATCAGGTAACATTTCATACTAAAAAAATTAAAATGGGCTGTATTCCCCAAATGAAACACTCTTTAAAATCCATTTACATTTTGGGAGAAGAGAAAATCACATGGACATGTTTTTTTCAACCAAAATCAGTAGAATAGTGCATGTTTACTCAAAGTTATTGCACTAAATTAGGAGAAACTATCCTTAGGTGGGTTTATGCAAAATATTTGAATAAAGTGTCTTGTTCAGGAGCACAAATGCTATATTTTAAAAATTATTAAATGTTTTAATAAGCTGTCTTTCTTATTATCTTCATGTATGTATGTATGTAAAGTTGTAGCAACATTTTAGCAGAATCTCATCTGCCATCATCAGGCTTCTGTATTGTGTTCGTCTGTTTTCCTGGTGGCATCGAACACAGTATAGAAGCCTGATGATGGCAGATGAGATTCTGCCGAAATGTTGCTACAACTTTAAAAGCACAACTATAATGACGTGGGAAAATACCCGAACAAAGTTGAATACCATACATGTAAGTACCTACGAAAACTTAAGAATATACACACACACACACACAGTCATTTTGTTTACTTTGTGTGTTTTAAATTTATTACACAGCCATTGTTCTGAAAATATATGCATGGAGCTATAGGCTTAATTTAGGCCAGATTGGAAAATGGTTTCTCAATGAAGGCAATGACATTTAGCATCCAGAAGGAATTGTTGATAAGGTAGCATAATACATATTTTGAAATGGTAATTATAAAACAGTGATTATATTCATGTGAAATCTATATTTTATGTATATTAATTCTATTTAATTGTTGCAATGTACTGTTACGCTAAATGTTGCAATGGTCAACCGTTGCAATGTACTGTTAACCTTGTAAGTGATGGATGGACAATCTAATGTTGCCATGTGATAAAGTGCTGACTGTGTGGAAAAATACTGGCTGGAGAAACGAAAGTTATATGGGAGAAACGAAAGTTATATGGGAGATAAAGTAACTGTGCGGGGCTAAGAAGTAGGGGCGATAAGACACCAGCTATGGCATAGTTTTGCATTAGCATAATTATGTAGAAAGCTATGACGTGTGCAAGTAGCCTATAAAAGGAGTACCCACCATTATTAAAACGCCTTTTCATCCCGAGTAAACACTGTGTCCGTGTGTTTATTTATTTACCATGAGAAGGCCCAGGGCTCTGAGTTCAGACCCTGTCGTCGCCAGGAGGCAGGCAGTGAAAAGCCACAACTGGTGACCCCGACGTGATCCAGCCGGACGAGCCAGCTGCAGCCCAGGGATGCCGTTTGGTGTTACGGGTCCCTCCCCAGGAATCTTCTGCAAAGAAGACATCCTCCCTTAATCAGGGACGCCGTTCGTGTTACGGGTCCCTCCCCAGGAATCTTCTGCAAAGAAGACATCCTCCCTTAACCAGGGACGCCGTTCGTGTTACGGGTCCCTCCCCAGGAATCTTCTGCAAAGAAGACATCCTCCCATGGCAAAACTGCATCTGGCTGCATCCTTCACAACGTGATTCTTCACAGCACAACTTTCAGGAAGAAGTGTGCTGCCCTGACTCTCATCTTACGCACCGGAGATCGGCAAGCGCATCATAAGTATGGGCACCCCAATTTCCAAGACTCTGTCCAAGCATGTGGACGAGCTTCACTTTTTAGTCAGGAAGGCGAACCAGTCGCAGAAAATTAACGGCACGACAATATATCCTATATCTAAAAAGGCCATCACTAAATTTCTTGTGTTTCTTCAAAAAAATTGCCCCGCTTATCCAGAAGGTGGCACTCTAAAACAATCTATTTGGGAAAAAATAGGAAAATACATCCACGAGCCTCCGCGAGCCCCCCCCGAAATCCTTTACGCCTGGAGAGCTCTTATGAATGCTATTAATATTCTTTATCCTCCCTCTGACTTAA